GTTAGAAAATACTACTTCTCTGAAAGAGTGGTCAGGCACTGGAATGGGCTGCCCAGGGAGGTGGTGGAGTCACCAACCCTGGAGGTGTTCAAGGAACGTTTGGATTTTGTGTTGAGGGATATGGTTTAGTGAGAACTATTGGTGATAGGTGGTTGGACTAGATGATCTTGTAGGTCTTTTCCAACCTTGGTGTTTCTGTGATTCTGTGATTCATTCCAGTGCTATTGATGTCTGAAACAAAAGATGAGAACTGCTAGGTTCTTTACCTCTAGGAGTTCTACAATCAAGAGCCTCACTGGAAGGTACTTTGGGGCACAGGAAGGATTAAGTTTGACAGGACCACCTTGAGAAAGACCACACAACATGTGCAGGACAACCAAAGGATCAGGCCCAGATGGCACAGGTTCATGAAAGTCAGGTCCTGCTTGACCAACCTGATCTCCTTCTATGACTGAGAGACACTCCTGATAGATGAGGGAAAGGCTGTTGACAAAGCTTACCTAGACTTCAGCAAAGCCTTTGACACTGTGTCCCACTGTATTGTCCAGTAGAAGGTGGCATCCCGTGTCTTGGACAGGTACACTCTCCACTGAGTAAAGTACTAGATGGATGGCTAGACTCAGAGAGTGGTGATGAATGGAGTTAAATCCAGATGGAAACCAGTCACAAGTGGTGCTCCTCAAGGGTTGGCATTTGGGGCCTGTCCTGTTCGGTATCCTTACTGATGACCTGGACGAGGGGATTGAGGGCACCTTTGGCAAGTCTGTAGATGACACCAAGTTGGGAGGAAGTGTGGATCTGCCTAAGGGTAGGAAGGCTCTACAGAGGGATCCAAACAGGCTGAATTGATGGGTTGAGGCCAATGGGATGAAGTTCAACAAAGCCAAGTGCCAGATCCTGCACTTTGATCACAACAACCCCAAGCAATGCTACAGGCTTGGGTTAGAGTGGATGGAAGACTGTGTGGAAGAAAGAACTTGGGTCTGTTGGTTGATGCTCAGCTGAACATGAGTCAGCAGTGTGCCTAGGTGGCCAAGAAAGCCAAAGGCATCCTGGTTGTATAAGAAATAGTGTTGTCAGCAGGAGCAGGGAGGTGACTGCTCCTCTATACTCAGCTCTGGTGAGGCTGCACCTTGAGCACTGTGTTCCCTCATTACAAGAAAGACACTGAGGCCCTTGAGCATGTTCAGAGAAGGGCAATGAAGCTGTGAAGGGTCTGGAGCACAAGTCTTATGAGGAGCAGCCGAGGGAACTGGGATTGTTCCATGTGGAGGAGGCTCGGGCAGACCTTATCACTCTGTACAACTATCTGAACGGAGGTTGTAGCTAGGTGGGGGATGGCCTCTTCTCCTGCATAACCAGTGATAGGACTAGAGGGAGTGGCCTCAAGTTGTGCCAGTGGAGGTACAAGTTGGACATTAGGAACAAATTCTTCTCCACAAGAGTGGTCAGGCACTAGAATGGACTGCCCAGGGAGGTGGTCAAGTCACCATCCCCAGAGGCGTTCAAGATATAAGAATATGTTGTACTAAGGGGCATGGTTTAGTGTGGAAATATTGGTGGAAGGTGGATGTTTGGACTAGATGATCTTGGAAGTCTTCTCCAACCTTGGTGATTCTATTATCAGATTAACTGATCTAGTGATCCTTTCCAACTTTAACTTCTGGAAATTGCCGTGCACCAGGCGGAAAGACATTGAGCAAGGCATCAGCTTGTGATGACTAAAAGCCTAGCTGTTGTATTAGTGTGGTTAATGCTGATTGCAGAAATGTTTTTCAGATTAAACAGTGCTGTCAACAAATAAATAATCAAAACACATTCAAAGTCTCTGGAAACACTTTGGTAATGATGATCCTAACAAAAGAGGGAGAGAATATGCACCAGAAGGCTAAGTCAAGCAAACCAGCAGATTGTTACAAACAGATCTCAGGAAATATGAGAAGATTCAGGTTTTGTTGTGTGTTACAGTTTGATGTCAATGAATGTACTGAATTTTTATAACACACTTGCTATCAAACGCACAGAAGATGGGCCTATAAATTTGGATGAAATGAAATTCCTTGCTTAAGATAAAAATGGATTTTGCTTTTAATATCATTACAGAAAGGACACGCATTACAGAACTGAAATCACCAACTATCTATCAAAGTCTATCACCACTATGCTTGAGGAAGAACTTCAGAAGTAATGATATACTTCAAAGGACAGCCAACAATATCCCATTCTTCTCAGGCTTATACCTATGAAAAGAAAGTAAAAGGAAAACTTCAAGAGAATGTTATAATAAAATCACTTCTTCCAGACACAGTCTAAGTCAGGTACTTAAGGGAAAAAAGTTCCCCTTTAGACTGAACAGGCTCATTGATTTCTTGGCCAATTAGGTAAGCGATACTTAGAAATGCAGAGATCCTTCAGATACGCAGTGAATGACATCCTTCCCATTTTTTGACAACATATGTAGTTTCCTTGCTACTTCCACCCTGATACTTTTTCCAATTGAAGGTTTAGAACCACCCTAGCCACAGCTAAAAGTCACAGTACATCTAGTTAAATTCATAAAATAGTTCTAGATTTTTGTACACGTTATCACAACACAGCCTGTGGACTGGATTCAAAGATGTAGAGATGTGCCATAGCTCTGAAGCGTGGCAAAGGCTGACTTTGAAGGCAGTTCTATACAGATGGCAATACAACAGAGATAGACCTAAGAGCCAGATCAGACAGGAAAATATAGTCCAACATGACAGCCCATACTCCCTAATCAGAAAGGAAGAAAAGATTTAGCTTGCACAGACTTCCATCTGCCTTTGAAGTGCTGTTGGTATAGTACACTGTTGGACCTACAACCGTGAATTATTAGGTGACACATGAGTCTGACATTTTTTATTTATTATTCCATGGAAACCAGGCCAAAGTAGAGGGAGATGGTGCAGGCCTGGGGCCATATTCCTACACAGAACTGATCTGTGGGTGGGATGCACCTCCCAGTTCTCCCACAGAGAAAGAGACAAATGGATTTAGTGTGTCTGAGCTGTACGGTACTGCTGATCCATCCACATCCAGCTCCTGCAAAGGAATCTGCAGCATACAGATACACAGAGTGCGGGTATAGATGTATGCCAATACAATGGGATCCTTAAGTAGCAGCCCATGAGAGCTATAGAGGACTAGCCAGTGCAGAAATACTGAAGATTACGATGCTGAAGTGCTTAACACAAGCGACTAAGAAGTGTTAATTCTTGGTTTGGGTGTCTTAGCCCAGAATTCTGTCCAAAATTTTAAAAGATACCAATAAATGACACTGCTTCTCCTTCCCTTAACTGACAAGCTTAAAAAAAACCACTCAAATGAGCACCCAAATCATCATGATATGTACTATGAGAGGAAAGCTACTCTCCTTCATACTACAGACTTTCAGAGAAACAGTCAAAATGTTATGGAAAGAGAGAAAAAAATATATATATAGGGTTGTGCTCCCTGATGAAAGGAAACTTCCCATTTTTCTTCCCATCATACTCTGTGAGGCAGGACTAAATCGAGCTGTCTGGGGACACAGTCAGTCCCAACTCATGTCATGTTTTTAAAATACTTTTGCTGATGTGAAAGCAAAAATACATGTTGGAGTCGCAGGTACTTCTTCTGGCTAGACTCCCCTGCCAGAAATACCCACACAGTATCAGCAATGACTCCACCAAGCAATGGGGATATGTCTGCAGCAACAATGAAACTGAGGGCTCAACAAAATACAAGGCTATGCCATGTCATAGGTGGAATTAAACAAGGGAAGAAGAGAAAATTCAGTGAGATGCATGCCGTTTGCATCACTTGAAGGGAACAGTTTCTGTCCAGTCTGACACAGAAATACAATAGGTTCCTATTAAAACACTTTTGTTTTCACAGCCTGACACTTCCTGCATTTGATGCATGACATTCTTTTTTACCATACTGTGAACTTCATAAGCTGAACTGAGTGTTGAGGCAAAGCCTTTCTGGCTGCACTGATTTCTCAACTTTGACATTTACAATTTAGTGTAATTCACTATTTCTTGCAATAAATAGATTTGTTTTTTCATTTAACATAGCAGATTTGGTAACAGTTAATAAGCCTGAATTTAACGCACAGAAAGCACTGTCTGGTTATCTAATTTATTCCTGCAAGTACAAGCCAAAGAATTTTATTCCTGTACCAAGCCAACAACTTCTGGTTGAATTAGGTCAAAGCAATCTTCTTTTCAAATAATCCATCCCACAGCCGTAGAACTTCTCTGTTTCAGCTAATGACCTTGCTGGAAATTCAGGTGTTGAGTGGATCACTGTGGATACCTTTAAGGAATACACATGCTATGCTTTACTTTGGGGTTCACTTTTTCATCTTCTGCAGTCTCATACATGCCGACATGCCAGCACTCTATTTTCACCAAACGATTCGTGCTCCTTCTGAACAGACATACCGACTGGCAGCATAATCATGAAGGATGATTATGATCACAGCTATCTTGGGACTGTCACGTCTGCTCTCTGTCTTTTTTACACAGAGGAGAAGGCTGCAACACGGCTGCCTACCCTACCATTCAAACATCTCCTTTGCATACAATATTATAAAGCCCTGTTAATATACATGGTTAAATCTGCATCAGATACAGCAGCCACGGTGTTACTCTTGCATTTGTTAAGCAGCAACCTGGGCAGAGCTGAAGATGGCCAGACCTGTAGTAAGAACTGATGCCATTAGATCAGAATGTGAGGCAGACAGGTGCTTGGTTTCACAGTTAGGATTCTGAAGGTGTGAGTAGAAGCACAATCCATAAATCTCAATTTGTGATTCTTGACCATTCTGAGATTTTGATCATTTGCTTCATATGTAAAGTTTTGTTGCCTCTGACTAGACAGAGATTTAGATACCTATCAATGACATCTTCTCAAAGCAGATGGCAAGGTTTTCAGACACTGTTCTCTGCAAAGTTGCCTGTTTTGGGGGCTGCAACAGAAGTATTTATTACCTTGTGAAGCTGCAGAATGTCTTGGCAGGGATTCTGTCCAGACATGGGGCTAAGATACCACCAGTCTGACAGACATTTGCAACTCTGCTGCCCATCACAAAGACCTTCTGATCATACCTCACAAAAGTAGAACACCAGAATGGTACAGACCTCATCCTGACAAACCAAGAGCACCTGTGAATGTCACTGTATGAACAGATGCGGGCAGTCTGTGCCGTCCTTTTCCAGCACCACATTTGAACCATCCTGCAATGTGTGGCAAATTCCAAAGTTCACAAAGCAATAGTCTCCAACAATGTTTACTCTAAAGCTTTGCTGTGAAAATCGAAGTCCTTCGAGACCCTAATATCAGTTGTTATTAAACAAGAAACATGTTGTCTCTGCACTGACCACTTTATCTCAGTTTCACTGTGCTTTCTGATAAGGGAAGAGTCTCACATCACATTAAATCCCACCCCTGTTGTAACCAAGGGAAAATTCCTATTAACTTCAAGAGCATCAGGATTTCCCACACTGTATATACAAATGTGTACAGTAGCTTGTATTTAGCTGAGGAACTGAAGGAGTGCAGCGAAGAAGAGATGAAAGAAAACTACAGGCTAAGAGGAAAGCTCTCCCATGACGAGATTTGTCTTTGACTGAGTGAATCAGAGCATTTATTGTTAGCATGCCATTCCCATAGCAAAGGGTTGGTGTTAGGTTCTTAGCACCCAACACTAAAAAATAGGTCGCAGAAAGCAGAGTTTATCTCCAGCTCTCAGGGCCTGTTCTTCCCATTTACTCACAAGAGAGAAAAGCAGAACTGTTTCCAAGGGGGAGAAAAAAAAAAAAACAAAACACAACACTGCCAATCTCTGACAGGTTGATAGTCCAAAATGAGCCAAAAATCTGGGAGCTTTCCAGCAGCAGGGACCCAGTCAGGAGGCTCCCTCTGCTCCCAGAATATTCCTGGAGAAGTCAGTGTCCAGAGAAACAACAAACAGCTTTTGTTGTTGCATGTATGCGCTCTGTGCATGTGGATGTGCAAAATAATTTCAGGACTATTAATTAATGCCAACCCGGTTGTGATAGACTACAGCATGGAAGCTGCTTGTCCAACTCATGTGGATCTGTATGGAAAGGTTGCAGTTTCTGGCGTGCTTCCATGTGGATTTACAAAGGCTGTCAGCTAGGCTGTGTGAGCCAGAGGCATAGCAGTGGCAGCTCATGAAACACTGCACCTGAAAAGCATTTCTGTGACACGTCTTTCTTTTCCTTCCGATGCGCTGTGCACAATCTGAGAAACCACTGGATTTTTTTTCAGCTTGTTTTGCATAAAATAAACTGACTTAACTGATCATGAATTCCTGTTCTCCTCATTGACGTGGCGTAAGGATGGAAACGTGCACTGCAGAACAAAGGATGCAGCCAACACTTTTTTGTATTAACACACAGTTGTATTAAAAGTAGATTACTGACCAAATTTTTCAAAGCCAAAACTGCTGGTTAGCAACCAAGGAGGACAGAGAAAGACTACAGGATTGCCACCACCATCTAATAAAAAAAACCACAGTGTTTATGGTCCCAGCCTTGCAGATTTAAATGCTAGACACAGGACCAGCCCAATCATAATACTAAAGCAAAAATCTACACCAGTAAACTGCTCAGGTCACTGCAGGAGAGGGGTGAAATCTCCATCCATTCACCGCATTGCCACATGCTCTGAAGCTGGCACAAAGCAGGATCTCTCGGCTCAGGCTGGGGAAGGAATAAGGTCCTCTCTCATTTTATGATGTCTCAGCCACAGATCAGGTTAAGCTGGTTGTCAAACTCTGAACTGCTGTAAAGTAATTCTTCTTCAATAAAAATAAATAAATCACACCTGTTCTCTGACAAAACAACACTCAGAACAAAAGCAAAACAGAAACAATGACAGATGACCACTCCAGCGAAAAGCAAAGCAGCAGGCTTAACTATCACCATGTCCCAAGAAGGCCAGTGAGATCAAACACAATAAAAACATCTAAAATGAGTGCTTCTAAGCACCTAAAGTAGTAAGAAATAACTTCTCAGCTTCTGTTCTTGGGAAAGAAATAGCTTCCTAACTGCAGTGCTGCAAAACTTTACTAAGTATCAACAGGAAAATCCTTGCAAAGTCCACACAGGATCTCATAGGATCAAAACGAACACCACCACCACCAAGTTTAATTCAGCTCTAAAAGAAATTGCAGTGCTTTCTTTCAAGTTTTATTACAGCCATCTTTAGCAGCCAGCTGCCCTTAACATCCTCTTGCAACAGGATACTGCAGGATGCTGAGCCCCCAGTAGGCAAGATCTGGATTCAGTCATCTAACCACAGCCGTCTCTAAGGTAACCCGGGCTAGCCCTAAATACTATAATCCTGCTTTACTATAGTAAAGCTAGTTAATGGCTTTCATTGAATGTGCTTGCCAAACAACAGCAATCTAATATTGATTGATGTTTCAAACAATCATTCTGCCCGCCTATTTGGACTATTTGCTACACACACAAAAAAGTGATGTAAGCGAAGAAGGAAGGAAGCTATTAAGGATTTCAAACTTTCTAATAACTGTCAAAGGCCCAGAGCTGCAAACCCCAGCTCCAAGTGCGATCCTGAGTTCGGTACCACTGCTGCCAGGAACAGGACCCACAGGCTGAGGAGTGCTGGGGCAGCAAGGGGCTGGGCTTTAGCACTTCCATGGGTTCCTGACCAGACAATGCCATCAGTGCTGGATGGCTGGAGGATCTGCATGCAACAGACGTCCTAATTACAGAGAGAATATATGGCATGGGATGGGCACCGGGAATACAGCATGGGCAGGGAAGGTGGCAGGCCAGAGCTGTAAACCAGGGAGTACTGCAACACAGTACTTTTGTATAAGTATTTAATTCGCTCCTGGGAGACAGGCGGTTAAATACATTAAAAAAAATGGAGGCCATTCCTTAGCGTCCCAGATCATATTAAAAGGATTGCTCTATTTTACGGCTTTTCTATTCTTCATTGCTTTTCTATTTTTTTATTGCCCTACATTTTCTAGTTTTCTGTTCTCGTTTTTATTCTTCGTTTAATTGCTGCGCCAAAAGATTCACAGAAAGGTATTTCTAGCGAGCTTTTCCCCTTGCTGAGCTGGAGAAGTTGGCTGCAGAACGTAACACCGACTGTCATTTTCCGCACTACGTGTAAGCTGGGGTCGGGGAGCTGCTTTTGCAGCGCTGAAGGCGCAGTCCTACCACCATCCTGCTGACCGCAGACCAACGACATTCGGCGGGACCTCACTTGTCACTGCCGGAGCCTGCCCTGCTGCGGGGCCGTGTGTACGCACACACCGAGTGCCGCACACGAGCTCTCAGCGAGCCGGGGGATCACGGCGTAAAGCACATACAGCGGGAAGCAGCCGCCGTGCCGCCGGCACGCATCTCGCACACGGCTGCGGGGCGCACGGCCAGCAGGTCAGCGCGAGTCAGCGCGGAGAGAAACGCGCAGCGCCGTGACAGGCGGGGGGAGACGGGCAGGGCAGCGAGGCGGATTAATGGGGACGGATGGCAAAGCTCAGCGCGATTAAACCCCGCGGTGCGCCAGATCCCAGCTACGAACGCGGTTACCGCGGGGCCGCAGCCCCATCCGCGGCTCCTCGGGGCCGCGACCCGCGTACTGCCCGGCCCCCTCCCCGCTCCCGGGGACACCGAACGACCCGGCCGCCGCCGCCGCCACCGCGCACCGCTCCGCTTACCTTCGGGCAGCGCGGCTCCCGCAAGGCAGCCCCGGCCCGGGCGCGATGCCCGTCGCCTGCCCACCCGCGGGCCCGGCGTTGCAGAGCAGCTCCGCGGAACGCCGGAGCTTGCGGCGGCGGCGGCGGCGGCGGGGGGAGCGTGGTGGGTGGAGGGAGGGGGAGAGAGAGAGAGAGGCGGAGGGGCGCTGCCGGGCGCTGCAAATGGCTGAACGCGGGAGCCCGCGCCGCGCAGAAGCTGCGCTCGCCCCGGGGGCCGCGCCGCGCTCGGCCCCTTTGTTTCCCGGCACAGCGGCGCGCACACACGCACGGAGCGGGAGGAAGCGGCTCCCCCGGCGCTGACCTGTTGCGCGTGCGGCGGGCAGCGCTGAGATGAGCCGCTGCCGAGGCGGGAACCGCAACGCCGCTGCCGGCCGGGGAGCGCGCCGCCCGAGGGGCGGGGAGGCGGGGACCGCCCCACCTGGCCGCGCTGAGGGGAGCTCCCTGGCTGAGGCGCCCTCAGGAGGGGCCGGGGCCGGCGGGCGGCTCGCCGTGCCGTAACGCCGCTCCCGCCGCGGGGCCGGGCCCCGTCTGCCAGCCTGCTCGGGAGCCTCCCCTCGGCTTCTGGGCGGATAGGGCGGCGGGAGCTTCCCTGCCCCTGCTGAAACGGCTGGACCAGGGCCAGGTGGTTTCCGTTTGGCTGCAGTTTGGGTCTGGGTTGCAAATTTATCACGCTCTTCAAGGCTGAGGTTCTAATCAAGGTTCTCAGAATTAGAGAGGTTTCCCAGTTTCTTGAAAATGAAATGAGCCCTTTTGTCACGCTGTGCTCCGGGTCTGCTCTTGACGGAGTCAGCGGCTCACAGACTTCCACTGTGACAGTGTGCGGTGCCTCCTGAACACCGATGCCACGTTTCCAAACCTTTGTACACCATTAACAACACAGGGATATTTCACACTGCTTTCACAATGTATCGTTTTCCCATTATGCTTTTCTAAAACCTTGTTTCTCTGCAGCTTTTCTCTACCTCCCCCTCTTCTGGCTCTGGCGTCCTGTTGGACTCCTCAGTAGCACCCAGAGGCTCTTGGCCCTTTCCTGAGCAGAGCAGCTCCCTTCTATCCTCTCAAGGAACCCATCCCTCCGTTTCTCCTTGTGCTGACCATACCACCATCATAACTGCACACTCCTAGAATCATTGAGGCTGGAAAATACCACTAAGATCATCAGGTCCAACCATCTACCCATCCCCACCATGCCCACTAACCCGTGTCCCTCAGTGCCACACCTAACCTTTTCTTGAACACCTCCAGGGATCTTTCTGCTCCATGATTACAGTGGATGAGCAAAGCTGGGTGTCTCCTCAGTCATTGTGTCCCTTTGCTCCTCCTTTTCGCCTCTGCTACAACCCTTCCAACCCAAACCATTCTATGATTCTGTCCCCAGGAAGCTGCAGCTCTTGCCTGCAGTGCTGGATAAGTGTAACCTCTTGAAGCCATCGGCTCTACTCATCTTATGCGCATACTTGAGTGCAGCGCTTAAGTTTAATGCTAGTTGTCAAGCTGAGGTCATGTCTCATCTCCGCTGAGAGACCATTGTGCTTTCTGGGGCCATGAGGTGAATAAATAATAATAATACAGTGTTGTGGGGGTTTTAGAATAATTGGTGGCTACAACATAAGTCTTCAGCATAATAGTGCATTTCCTGCTCTTCTCTCATTTGGATCTGTTACTGTGCAAGGTTTCATTCCTGGCTCGTTGGAAGAAGTTTCCACGTGATACTAGCAGATCCACTGCAGCCTGCCAGGAATGACTCTTCTGACATCAGGAACCAATCTTCCTGCTATTTGGTGTGACTTTACATGCTATATAATTCAAAATGACACTGAAACTGGACAACAAATAGAGGTCTGGGAAATGATTTTCAAAAGCCTCACTTCTGTTTTCATTAACAAGACTGTGCCAACAGCATCGTACCTGGGATCATTTAAGATTGTTTTGGCTCGTGCTTTCTGAATATATGATGACATTAAGCACTACAGAATTTGTGTA